TGGGTGAAAGGTTATGTGAGGAAGAACCTGTACAAGAACACAAAAATCTATAGACTTGTTAAAAACAGTGGTTGCTATATAGGGTGAGAGGCCAAAATTGCAGGCCCAAGACGTTCCTGGGTGGAATGAGGTAGTTATTTGGCTTGAACTCTGAATGAAGCTGGGCACAGAGTCATGCTGCCAGTGCTGGTGGACGGCTGGAGTCCCGGAGACAAGGTCCCTCTACCTGAGACGTCAGGGAGAGTCAGCTTGTGGTGATGGCCCCAGTCACAGGCAGATGAGCTAGAAGAACTGATAAAGGTTAAATTGAAGGCCTTTTCTTCATAATATGGGGGAGGAGCAGCCGAGCATAACCAACAGGATTGGGTGAGATCTGATTGGGTATGATTTAAAGCTGTGTATGCCCCTTTAATCAAACTGAATAGGTTAGAACGTGAGTATTGAGGGGCAGGTACACGATCTGCCTGGTGTGGGGGGGCTTGAGAAATGCTCATGGTTGGGTGACCTACTGTAAATTTTTTTTTGTCTTTTTCCTTTTTATCGGTACCAGGGATCAAATTCATGACCGCCTGCTTGCAAGGCAGGTGCTTATGCCGCTGATCTAAATCCCCAGCCCCTACTGTAGTTTTTTGAATAACAGTAGCAGAATCTGTATTGGACTGATTTTATTTTTGATTTGGATTGTATTTTGCCTTTAGAGCAGGATTTGGGCCTTTGGGCCTATGAAACCTGTAGGGGAACCTTTTTTATGAGAATAAGATTTCCCCTGTCTCTGCCTGACTCATAGACTCGAAGTCCCCAGGTTCGTCCTGCCAGCCAGCCTGGGTCCTCAGGAGTGGTGACAGTGATATTTAGAACCTGACAGGGTCTTTGATTGGCCGGTGGGTAGTCCTCTAGGCTGCACCCCGGCGGCCCCCATGTCAGTTTAAGGTGTTTATCGGGGAAGGCGGGTTGCCATCCTGTTGCAACTGTTTCGCAACCCCAACGAGCACAAAAATATTCTCCCGGGGAATTACAGTATGATCTGTCCCCTGTTGCTGCAGGACAAAGGTAGAAGTGACTTTGTTTGGGACATTGGAGCCCTGGAAAGAACCAACAGGGTGTGGGCGCAAACCATGGACTTCCTGATCCTACCCAAGTCCAAACCACCTGTTGGTCCTTCCAGCAGCTAAGCTCCCATTTCCAGGGTTGATGGGGGTTGCTATCCGTTAGATGTAGTTGTGTCAGAAGTCCAACGATGGTCCATAAAGTTTTGAGCGGTTGCACCATCTGTAAGAGAACACAGGAGATTGTGTCTCTAGAGGGTATTACTCCTGGGCGTCACATAGGGTCCTCGATGAAGGCTGTCTACTTGTTTTATAAGCCGTTTGGGGAGCCATCTAGCTCCCCTTTCTTGGTGGGAGTAGACACAAACGGAGCCTTGTCCCACATAAGGCCTGGGTCAGGGCCATTCCATGTGTTGGTCAGGGGTCTCCGCATGGAGGCGAGGGTCTGTGTCTGTGTCACTACCATGTGAGGCAGAGTCATTTTCTTTCTCACTATTATCGGTTTCTGTATCTTGTCTCTGTGGACGTGGTGGCTGTCTTTTTTTGTTTCTCCTTGTTGTTGTAGTGGCCTGTGGTGTATCCCTTCCATGTTCCGGCTCAGGGATCGATCCCCGCGTCTAGTTCGCCTCTTGAGTCTCCCTCTTTCTCTAATTGTTTCACTGTCACCCTCTCGGGTGGGTGGAGTTGTCTCCCTGCCAGCTTTCGAGTCATCGCCACCCGTGCCAGTTTGAGCAGTTTCCGTTACTGGAAACAGTAAGGGATGCACCATTTTTAAGGCGTCTGTTTTTAGAGGGTAGGTTGTCTCTGTTACTGGAACATCATCATGGGAAGACCACGTGGCAGACCTGAGGTGGGCACCATCTTAGGGAGTGGCAGACAGGAAACGGTCACCATCTTAGAGGGTTTGTGTGTAATGTTTGGAGCTCTAAAGTGAGTCTTTGTGTGTCAATAGTTAATTGAATTTGTTGTTATAGATCATGAAATTGTTCCTCCAATGAAAAAAGGGCAGGAGACGGGCCGGGTGGTCGCTGTGACAGGGTGGGGGGGAGTTTACAGCAACGGGAGCCACAACCGGGGGGGAATGGTATTGGGCAGCCTCTTTCACTAATTGTGACCAATCAACTTCCTGGCAATTGGAAAGGTCAGGGTAGATAGGGTGGTACGGAGGAGGGAGCGCGGCGGCACCACTGAGTACCAGGGCAGTGCATGCCATTTTGAGTACCCTCGTGGCCTCCAGAAAAAGGAAGTGGCAGCAAGTCGCCATCTTGAAAAAGCTCCAGGATAACAAGAACCACAGAGCCGGGAGGGCTGGGTGCTTAGATAAGTCCGGTGGTTGCGGAGTACAATTGCAGGAGGCAGATAATGCAGCCTTACCCTGAGCAAGCGTCTCTGCAATCTGGGGATCTGCGTGACGTTGTGTCAGCAGCTCAGAGATTAAAGTCCAATATGAAAAGGCGGTTACTAGGACCTTTTCTGGGCCAAAGACCCCATAATAGTCCTTGAGAGCATCTCCTACTTTTTTCCACCTATTTGCATTGATGGTGCCCTCTAGAGGGAACCAGGGACACACTGATGTATAAACTGAAAGTACTGTAGCAAGTCTTTAGTCTTAACCTTAATCCCTCTAGTCTTGAGTGCCTCCCTGAGGCCATTCATGAACAATTCGTGCTCACTGAGTGCTTGCCCCATGCCAATCTTGTTCACCTACCGTGATTCAGGCGAGACGTAAGGCGGCCGTCTGCATGGATCACAGGGACGAAGTCCCAGAACAGTCATGCCAGCCGGCGATTTACTCCCGTGAGCGGTCCCGCGTTGATATCCCTCGTGCCAGGTCGAGCCCCACGTTGGGCGCCACTTGATCCGGCCTGCGGATTGGTCTGTAGGCCTCGCCTGGAGAGGGGATGGGGATGGAGGCTGGGCAAGAGAAAAGAGAGACAAGGACAAGCTGACCAATTCCAATCAAGTCCCTTCATTCAGGAAGTGAACATGGCTTATATAGAGTCAAAGGGGATGTGGCTTCACAGGATGAGCCAGCTTGGATCTGCTCATATGCTGCGGGGCTACCAGACTAGCAGGAAGTCATATGTGGGCACATAGGTAAGCAGAAGTGATGTCAACAAGAGATTATGGGAGATGTAGGCTGAAGCGGAAAGGTGCTTACCTCATGCGCATAGTAGGCAAGGGGAGGATCATGGGAAATGTAGGCTAACACACAAAATGCCCTCAGCTGGGAGGGGCAGGACAGCGGCAGCCATTCTGAGCCGCTCCCTACACACCCCAGCTGGTATCTCTCCCATTTTACCCATAAGGAAACTGAGGTCTAGAGAAATCAGAAACTTGCCCCAGGTCACACTGCTGAGCACTCTTTCCTATCTTCAGAGTTCCAGAAAAAAATTTTCCAGACACCACAGGCCAAACTAAAATACTCTTATCACTTTGGGTTAAGAACTCTATGGGCATGGTGGCACCTGACTGTAATCCCAGCACTTGAGAAGTGAGATAGGAGGATCACAAGTTCAAATTCTGCCTGAACAACTTAGTGAGGCTGTTTCCAAAAAAATACATAAATAAATAGAAGCTGGGGGATCTGAGGATATGGGGGGGTGCTAGATCTTATTATGATTTTCATTTTTTTGCACAAGAAACATTATGATAAAAATCAAAAGTGCATTACTGTAACTTGCCAGTCTCTTCCATGTGTAGATCTTATTTTTCTGTGCCAGCAATCAAGCAGAGAAACACAGTATCATCATCATAATGATACAGTACCTGTCTCAGCTTTTTGCTGTAAAATATTTCAGACATAAAAACCTCAAATCTGACCATCGACAACTTTCACTGTATTTGTACACTGGGGTGTGAGTGGGTTTTTTTTTTGTTGAGCCACTGACAAGCTGGCAGACATTATGACATTCATCTCTTAATTCTTTGGAATACACCTGACAATACGGACACAGTGTATTGTTTATATTTTTAAGATACCAATAATTCATGAAGCAGCTGTATCCAATCCAGGTTCAAACCTCTCCCAAAGTCACAGGGAAAGAGCCCCAAACACAGTGTGAAACCCGGGCATGGTGGTGCACACCTGCCATCCCATCTATCCGGAGGCTGAGGCAGGAGGATCTTTGCGAGACGGGGCTGGGCTACAAAGTGAGCTCAAGGCCAGCCTGAATGGCACAGAGATCCTGTCTCAAGAAGACAAAAACAAAACAAAATCCCCCCCAAAACACAGTGTGAGCTGGGCACGGTGGCTGAGTCTGCACTCTGTTGGCAGAAGGCTGAAGGAAAGCGAAAGAAAATCACAAGGGAGAAGGGGGAGGCCGGGCGGCTGCAGCACAGCGCCACCTCCCGGGCAAGGCTCCGGCCAGGAAACAAACCAGGCAAGAGCACAGCGACCCTTCCGAGCGACCTTCCCGGGAGGCAGAGGGTAACTCGAGTACCTGCCGTGTCCCGCCGGCGCAGCAGGCCCGATTATAAAATCCCGCGTCCTTTCCCCGCGCTCGGTCCTCCGGAGCCAGGAAGGGCGGCCCCGCGGCCCCCGCCCCCTCCCCGTCCTCCCACAGGCGCTCCCCCGCGGTCGCGGTCCCTCCGGGCCAGGCTGAGGCTCCCGCAGGCACGGGCGCTCGCAGACTCGCGGCCGGGTCGACCGCGCAGGAGCCACGGGTTCGGGGCCGGCCCGGAGCTCCCCGCTTCTCGTCCCGGCTCCCGCTCGCTCCGCCGCGGCGGCCCTCCGCCCCGCTCCCTCTCCTCCCGCTACCTCAGCCGCGGGTCCGGTTTTCTTTCCCGCCGTCAGGCGAGAGGCCGCGCCTCCCCGCCGGCGCCCGCAGCGAGCGCGAGTCCGAGGGGGGAAACGAATGAAGGCGCCGACGCGGAGGCTCCCAGCACCGTCCGCGGCCCCTCGACGCCCGGCCGAACCGCGGCGGCCGCTCCGGGATACGGCGCCACGTGACTGCCGCCGCCCGCCGGGCGCGAGTCGGAGCTGGAAAGTCGCGCGGCCGGACACGCCCACTTGCCGGCGCGCAGGCGCAGAGCGTGCCCCGCCCCACGGCGCGGCCTGTGCGCAGGCGCGGCGGCCGACGCGAGCGTCCGTGCGGCGAGAAGATGGCGGCGGCGGGGGACGCGGCGTGAGAAGCCGGAGCGGTGCCGAGTCCCATTGAAACGGGCCGCCATGGCCCTCCGCGGCCCGCAGGTAGCCAGGCCGTGCTCCGGCCGCCAGGCCCGAGCTCCCGGCGGCGGGCGGGCTGTCGGGGGGCGGGGATGCGGCTATGCTGCCTGTCTAGGCCCGCGCCGCGCCCCTCGCTGCCGCTCGAGCGCCGCCCGCCGGAGGTCGCGGGCCCGGCGGGAGCGGGAGCCTCGGGGTCCCCGGTGGCACAGGGAGGTCCTGCGCCCCGTGGGGAGCGGCCGAGCCCGGGCACACGCGGGCGGGCTGGGGCCGCCGAGCTCCGGTGCGGGTGCCCCACGCCCCCGGGCGCTCAGGCCGCGTCGCCACGCGGGGTGGCGCGGTTCCTGGCGTTCTGCCGACTCGCGGAGCTGCAGCTGAGGCCACCGTGGCGAAGAAAACTCGAGCGGAGCCGGAGGGACCGCAGTTGCACGTGCACTGATGATACCGATTGCGCGAATGCGCCGGGTTACAGGGTCCGTGCAGGCTTCGGGGTGCTTTCAGACAGCCCCTGGGGCAGAGGAGCAGCCGGAGCCCTGCCGGTGAGGGTGGCGCTGCGAGCAGAGTAGAGTTCGCGTGGCTCTCCGCCGCTCCCCGGGTTGCAACTGTCCTGGATGAAAGTCCGCATCATGCGGTGTTATTACTTGTCGGGCTTGCCTTAAACCTGATTTGTGGACATGGAATCCCTAGAAATTGTTACATACTTCTATATACCGGGGAAATACAGTAGCTATTTGGAAAACTGGTGGCGAGTGAAACCCATAACGCATTACAAGCAAGTTGGTTTTTGTTGTCTGGGCAGATAAAGTTGACCTGATCAGATCTCTTCTCAATAATGATTTTGATAAACTAAGGCATGTTGTGAAATTTAGAACTCGCAAACAAGCTTTGAAAATTTAGGTTTTAGAGGAAATCGCAGTTTTGTTAAATTTGTGGTACTTAGTTTGCATCAGGTCTCTCGTTTTTTTGTCCATTTGTATATTTACTTCTCTTAATTTTTTAAAAAATCTTTGAGACTGGGTCTCACAATGCCGTGCAGGCTGGCCTTGGACTCACTGTGTAGCCCAGGCTGGTTTCGAACTTGCATCGATTCTCCTGCCTCAGTGGGCTGTCACGCCCTGTTTCTCTAAAATATTTTAGTGTGGGGCTTTTTCTTTGGATCAGAAAGGCACTTAATAGTTGAAAAGTCTTTACAGAAGTGTTTCTCAGAAATTTGCTTAAGAGATTTGTATTTGACTTTTGCCCAACTTGGCTTTAATTGGCTTATTTTATTAAAATTAATATGAACAAGTATAAGTTTTTGCGAACTAATTTTTGTGATTGTGAGATGAAGAAAGCACATTTAGTCAATTCACCTTATTTAATAAGCACAATTACAATAAAAAGGTTTGAAACCTTAATTAGTGGTGATAATATGTGCACTTTATTGAACTGTAATTTCTTTTGCATTGATTATCCTAGTATCTGGGTTTCTAGATAACCATATTGTGTATACACAGGTAGAAAATTGGATGTTGGCAAATGGTAGCTGAACTTTAAGCCTCAACATTGCTTTATGTTTAGTTTTTTAAAGTGTGGCTTTTAAATGTTTTTAAGGTCTAGCATGGAGAAGGGAGCAAAGAAAATAGTTTGGTTTTTTATAGTTTTATTTTTTATTTATTTAATTTTTGGTACCAGCAAAGTCAGGGTCTTGTGCGTGCCAGGAGGGTGCTGTGTGGTAAACTATATCCCTGGCTCACGATTTTACTTTTAAAATAATATTGGAAATAACATAGAATCATACTTGATAAACTTGCCTTTTTTTTTTTTTTTTTTTTTTGGAGACAGGGCTTACTAGTCTTACAGTCTAGGCTGACCCTGAATATACTGTGTAATCCAGGCTGGCCTCCATTCATGGCAGTCATCCTGTCTCAGCCTTCTGAGTGCTGAGATTAAAGATCTGTACCTCCAAACCTGGCTGGGGAGCATTTTAATAAATTTGTTTTATTCAGTTGCACGTTGTGTGCTAAAGGTCTTGTAGTTTATCTCTTCTCTCTTCTCTTTCTCTCCCTCCCCTTCTTTGTTACTGGGGATTGAAACCAGGGCTTTTGCACTGATCTATACCTTCAACCCCCTTTTTAAAATTTTTTTGTTTTGAAACAGGGTTTTGCTAAATCACCTAGGCTGCTCTCACACTTGGGGTTCGCCTGCTTCAGCCTCCCAGACTGCTGGGACTACAAGTTTTGTTAGTCTTAACAAGAATTGGTTAACCCAAAACACTGGTTGTTTACTATGTGCTAAGTACAGTGATAGTCTTCCTGCTTGTTTACTGTTGTAAAACAAGTAATAGTCCAAGTCCCCTCTGCCCCTCTTTGTCTTTGTTTTTGGGGGGTCGTTTTGAGACAGGGTTCCGGATGCCTTTTCAGACCTGCCTGGAGCCCTCTTTGTAGCCCTGGCTGGCCTGGAACTTGCAGCTGTCTTACTGTCTCAGCCTCCCAGAGCTGGGGTTATGGGCGTGTGCCACCGCTCCCAGGTCCCTTTTTTCCCTTTTTGAGATAAAGTTCCACTATTGAGTCAGGCTGGCCTTGAACTCACAGTGATCCTCCTGCTTCAGTCTCCCAGCTTCTGGGATTAGGGGCGTGTGCCACGACACCCAGTCCCCCAGCTTTTTTTGACACAGGTTTTCCTGTGTAGTTCAGGTTGAGCTTGAATTCAACTGTGTGGCCCAGCCTGGACTCAAACTAATGGCCGTCCCCTTGCCTGCCTCCCAGCGCCACGGTTAGAGGTGTGCACCTGGTGCCGAAGGTCCTGCGCCAGGCTGCACTCCAGGGTAACTGGTTAGGACTTCGATTTACAAAGTTTATCAGTTCCGCTGTGGGAAGCAGTTGGCTGAACCTTGTTCCCAGGGTGGAAGTGCAGTAGTAAAAGCTGGTGGCCCACTCTTGTAATTGGGCTACTTGGGAACTCAGGCAGGAGAGGTACACATCTGCGGCCAGCATGGACGCCTTAGTGGGACTGACCTATCTTCCAAGATGCAGGGCTGGGGACCTGGCGCAGTGGTGCGGGTGTCTTCCTCAATGTGCACACAGAACCCCAGAACACTGTGTCCTTCCCTCTCCTGTTGTAACAAACTCAGGTTGGGATCCCCACAGTTGAAATATTGCTACATTGCTAATTTATAAGTAACTCTGTTTCCTTTTCCCGGGAACTGGTTAAATGATTTGAGTAATAAACTGAAGCTCCCAGTGCTGCCTTCTGCCTGGAAAGCTGGGGAGACCATTGGGACCACTTACGGTCATTGCAGTCTCCACGAGGCTGCTTTGTGCATGGTGCCGGGTGTCAGCCTCGGGGTGCTGGCCCCTCCTTAGTCCCAACTTCCCGGTCAGTGCCTCAGTGGGCTGCTCGACAGCTGTCTCCGGGCAGTTCCCAGGAGAGACCCACCCGGTGAGCCGTGGAAGGGAGAATCTCTGACTGGAGCTTTGGAGACAGTTTTCCTTCCTAGCTTGAAAGCCAACTTTTTTTTTTGTCTATGAGACAGGGTCTCGCTCTGCGGTTCGGGCTGGCCTTGAGCTCACTTTGTAGCCCAGGCTGGTCTCCTCGGGACCATCTTTCTGCCTCAGCTCGAGAGTGCGGGGGTTACAGGTTTGAGCCACTACACCCGCCTGAGAGCCAGCTATTTCAGTATGGCCAGCCGCGTGTGAAGCATCAGCCAGGCAGGGGTGCTGGGTCCCTGCCCCACTCACGCTCCTCAGCCTGGCTCAGGGCGTGCAGCACCTAACCCTTCCCCCATCCCCGTCCTGCTCCCGTCTCCGCAGGGCATGCGCGCTTCAGCTTCTGTGCTTGGGGCCAGCGGGATCTCGGTGGTGGGTCTCTCGAGGGCACTCGGCCGGGGTAGGGGTCCAGGCTTGGCATTGGTTCTGTGCCGGCTGTACACGGCGTTCCTCCTGCTGGGCTGGGAATGGAGGGTTCAAGTCATTGAGAAGAGTCTAGTCTGTAACATCAAAGTTATTTCAGACGTGTAAGTACGGGCTGCCAACAGGTCTGGGCTTTCAAGTGGCTTAGTGAACGTGGTCCCGGAGGACAGTCCTCACTGCGTGCAGCGGAGCGTGAGGAAGAATCCTCGGAATTTGCAGCCAGACTGTGACATTACTGTTTACTGCCACACGTGTGAGGATCACTGTCGCCACAAATCTCAATTCTGTCTGCAGGGGATTTGCTGGCATTGGGCCGTTGGATTACTGTCATTTGTCACCTTAGTGCCACTTCAGCAGTGTAAATGTTCATTTCCAAAGACTTGCATGTGCTTGGACTGCAGTTTTTCCGTCTAAGTGGTCTTCCGGAAGGTCTTTGAATGTCCGGTTCTGTTAGTCTGGGTTGGGTGAACTGGTGTAGAGATGGGGCCCACGGGTGCGCTGGGGGACTGTAGGACTGGCCACACATGGGGAGGGAAGCTCTGTGTGCAGACTGTCCTGAGCTCGTTGTGCTCTGCTGTCCTGGAGCCCCTCAGCAGTGCCCCCACTCTGCCCTGCAGACGTGGGAAGCCGGAAGCTGCCCCCACTGCATCCCGCCCTGGCCTGGCCTGGCCTGGCCACCCTGGCGGCGGCGGCCCCGGGGGAAAGGGCGGGTGGGTGATGCTGCTGTCGTGGCACGGCTGCTGGCTCTGGGGACGGAACAGGAGGGGTGGCGGCTGCCCTGAGCACCCTCACGCCCTCGGAGGCCTTCAGGTCTGTCTGCACCTTTATTCCTGACCTCGGTCCTCGGTTTCCTTTTCTGTTGTCCCTCGAAGGCTGTCCCGAGCCCGTGTCCCGAGCCCGTGCGGTTTGATTCGAGAGTCTCTCAGTGGCGGGAGCCGTGAGGAGGCAGTGCTCCACCCCCCACCTGGAGTCTGCTTTTACTCCTGGCTGCCTCCTCTCGCATCTTTCTGTCCCTCTGGCTTGCTGGTGGCAGAGGTTTGCTGACTGTCTGTCCTGCTTTAGGGAGAATTGCCCGTTTTCATCGTTCTGCATCGGGTACAGACGTATTGGCAGGCTCTTTTTTCTTCTGGTAAAGTT